GCAAGCATTCTACTGGCAGGCTGGCTTTACCTTTACCGGAAACTTACGCACCTGCTAGTCGATTAGCACCTGAACTGCATAACGCTCCACACTATCAGGGCGACTCCCATAAGCGGTAGCTTTAGCCTTGGCTGAGGCGAATCCATGCCGGAAAGCTGTTATACCGAAATATCGTTGAAAATCCCAAAGGAATTCTTGTTGGCTTTCTCGACTTGTTTCTAGAACATTTCAAGTTTCTGTGAATTTTTGGAAATCTTTTAGAATAAAACTTTCGGTTCTCTTTGTGTTGTGAACTTCACGAGGAAAATTAGGGTCAAAAGTAGGAAAATAACCGGCCTTAAACAAACTCTCGGCCAATGCTTTTCTCATTGAGCAACCGTAATCGCGTTAGGTTATGGTAGCCATACAATCAATTTTCTCCTTGAGAGCACATTTTCGTTCAATGTGTCGTTGATGTCTTGTCGTTCTTGTGTGCGTATAGCGGATAATGAATAATGAATAACCCTTGACCCTAGGGAGCAACATATGGCAACCTGCCGTCGCTCCGCGCTCAGCTTTGCACGCTCGCCAAATCAACCGCACAAAGGGTTTTGGTGCCATCGACACAGATCACAACGAGTCTCTGGACCAAATTGTTTTCAATGGTGGAGAAATATTGCTAAATTAATGGCACGGATTTGTGTTGTCGCATAAATAGGCTTGGAACAGGTGCAGAAAAATCTAGAAAAAGTTCTTCTGAGAAAATCGCGCAAACTTGAAAAAGCATATGCCGGCTCTTGGAAGGTGTGGAAGCAATGCCAAGATTTGAACCAGGCGCTCATCAACGGAAATCCGGTGAATATGTGGCTCACCGGTGCCAAATCTTTTTTTTGGATGTGCCACGCATTTTACTTCCATTTGTGCTTGCAGCAGCCTTTGAATAGGAGTTCGACTATGAATTTACGTGCGGGACACAAGTCGCGTCATTAGGGCTTCCATTCTGCAGTCTTTTGGGTTGGAGCATAACATCGTAGCGCTTGCACTTTTCATTTCTTCACACAAACATTCAAAGCAAAAAAATAAAACGAATCAGTGATGTTAACTTGGTCATTATTTACAATTTTGATTGCATTTCGCAGGAGTATTTATTATTCTTGATTTGTGAATATGAATGAATAAATATGGAATGGATGAATGGTGAAATTTGAGCGAAAAAGGTGGGGTTAAATCAAGGTTCGATATAGAACAAGCGATTTAAAAGAACTTCAGTTGGCAGTGGTTGCTTAAAAACGGGAATAGCAAGCTGTCGAAGCACAGATTTCGCCACGGAGTTTCTCCGACTTCGAAGGCTCTATTACAATCAGTTTAGCCTACAATGCCCGATGAAAAGGACAACGACGGTTTTGTAGAGGAGAAGATACTTAGCAAATAGTAGCGAAGAGGGTTTTCGTTGATGCTTGTACGATTGAATTTATACGCTCTACAACGCTACGATATTGCGCTACAACTCATTATTTCAACCTCTCCTCCCAACCACTCCCCTACCAGAGGTTTGGTAAGCTTTTGGGAGGCCTGTCAAATAGCTGTCATTGTTCCCATCGTCATATGACCTAGTGAGCTAGCGAAAATTGACAACCACCTAGCTGCTTATTGTGCCAATTGCAATGCACCTTGACATATCTGTCTGGTAATTTTTGCCGATTTTTTGTCGCACTTCTGTTTCCGACCCAATCCGCCTTACAAATGCAACACGCCGCTCACAAATTTTCCCTATTCGGGTTTCTTCCGTTTCCTATCAGGATGGCAGTTTTGATGGACACCTTACGATTGTAAATGCTTGTTTTGACCTTGTCCTTAATCACCTCTTAAGGTGTTGATGGCTCTGCCGGTGCCTGCGTATGAACAGACAAACCGCCCAGCACTGCTATACCAAATCGGGAGAAGGCTGGAGACGAGACAGTATGCTAAACGCGACATGAAGTAGACACCCCTCACCTACGACTGCTGCCCAGCATGGGAGTGTGGCCGCAGTCGACTTGCTTTGGCGCCGAATTTAAAGATTTTACCTTCCTCTTGAAGAAACCTCCATACAACCCAGTACCCCCACCCCCTACAGCCCTGGGGCCCCATGGTACTTGCCCGCTCAACACTTTCCACCTAGGCTGATTTTACAGCATTCGATTCTACGTTGGACCATCCCCTTATCCACCAAACCCTACTGTTATCTCACAGCGGGCTGTCAACTCTGAACAGCAGCCAGTAAGGAGCTAATTACTTTTCAGAACCATTGTCGCGCACATCCGTACTGCTTATTTTAGTCTCTGCAACAGTTCCACCCTGCTTATGAACAGGAGCAGTTCGTTTAATTTTGTCGCGCAAGTAGTTCTGATGCAGCAGCAGAGTCAGGCATATTTAGTCAAACAGAGGCCAATTTCGGGACTCTGATGTTATGAAGTAGTGGTGGTGTACGAAAAAATGCTGAATGACGGGCTAGCTAATAGCTGTGCTTTGCCTTCCAACGGTTGAATTAATCTATCACCCCCTCCCCTCCTTCTTTGCTCGACGTCGACTAGGAGGTTTAAGGCGGAGTCGGAGGTTTGGAAAACTTCTCATCAGCGATTGAAGTCTTGGAAATTTTGAGGTTGTCACAAGAGAATTTTATCCTGACCTTAATAATGGCAGTGCAATTCCCTAGATCCTCTATAAATTCAGTTAATAGAAGGCCATTGTAGTACGGCGCAATCCAGCAGATAGAGGAAGCGAGCCAAAACAACGCACGGGTTGTGACTACCAGCGAAAACGAAATGTGGATCAATAATCATCCAACAAGTGTGAGAGATCGGTAATACAAAGAAAACAGTGTGACAAAAGGTGAATAGTACATGTGGTAAATATGTTATTAACTGTATAGCTTGAAATTCAAAAAAAGTGAGACATTAACATGAAGAGAAAAAGTACAATACAGAAGCGATCAATGAAATCAGAGTGATGCCAGTCGATGAATTACAGAATTCGAAGTTGCAAGTGTAACATTGACCAGTTCCACCTTGTGCTTGGCAATTCGACTGAATTTATTTTCATAATCTTCACATCTTTTAGTATGCGACACCATTTCTGAAAAGCTCTTCTCTAGAAGGAGCCTGTTGACTTCCTGTTGGCTTTACTAGGCTCATGAAAATTCCAAAAGGGCAGAGAACGAGCGAAACAACAGTAACGAGCGAAGTCATGGAGAATCAACAGATCCTCCATTAGGATGACCAAATGTCAACGTTCCTTCGATGCGGGGCGGGCTTAGCAGCAGTAGATCTTTGGAAAGGGTGGGCAGAGGAATTGGCAGAGCTGGTGTTGGGATATCGGCAGCTGTGATTTACTGGTGAAAGTTCAGAATTTTTCCAGGAATATTTGAGAAATTTTAGAATTTCCGACAAGCTTTTTTGCGTCGACTCAATGAAAAGGAGGGGCGGTTGAATGAGAAGTCACAATTTGTTGAAGCCCTCAACCAGGTTCCCATCGCCAATTCCATCTCTATCTTCTGGCTTAGCCATCTACTATTTAGCTTCCAGCGGAGTAAGCTCAACATCGGGTTAACCAATCGGCAACCAAATTCTGTACTGAATATGACAGCAGCCGTTTGCGCAAATCTGCAGAATAGTGAAATGCATGGCGCATTCGAATTGACTTTTTCAACCCAACTTTTTCAAAGCTATCCCTATTCTTTCACTGAATCAACAAATGTCAAGATCAACGACCAACCTGTAACGTCTGACAGGCGACCGGTGGATTTGCTGGATCATTGCATCCTTTGTAGATTTGCTCTTCTGAAATATGTTTCCAAAAGATTCTATAGTATACGAAACGGCAAAGAAAAGTTATGTTTGAGCCTAAAAATCTTCTGGGACATCACTCCAGGAAGAAATCACTGAGGCAACAGCTCGAGTTGATTTCTTCATCTGGTTTGCCCTCCGTTTCTTACTCTTTTCTTCTTTTTCAAAACTTAAAAATTCCTTCGAGCGCTTATCTGTGGACGGGCAACAAAACGCTTTCCGTATAGAAAACCCACGTCCACGTATTCTGCAGACAAACTTCATGCACGACATAATGTTGGCCGGACATTGTTGGCTGACAAGCCCTTGAATGGTGTTCATCACATTGCATTGCAAAGCATCTGAAACTTGAAATTATTAGATTGGATTTTCTAAATTTGATTTTCTGAATTTGAATTTTGGAGTTAATTTACACATGGAAAAATTACAAAGAAAAATACCGAAAGTTGAATTGTTTTGCTATCTACTATAGCCCAGTTATGGTGAAGGATGACCTAGCTGGTGGAGTGACCGTTCAGTGACCCATATTCTTTCAGAAATCAGACCGAGTTCCAATCCCGACTAAGGCCAAAGTGCTTGCCCATCTCTGAATTTTGCCACAACTACTGAACCGGCTCAACGTGTTGCTCACGCAGGAAACTCTCCATAGTCATCGTGAAACTTTGCCTCAAGACTTCAACGGCGATTTCCGGAACAAGGGCCCACGATTTGGAACCACGATTACGGTGACATTAGTGCTAAGACCAAACGCCAGGAAGCAAAACATTGCCACTGACCATCTCCAGAATCCTCCCTGCCGCTCACTTCCAAACTGTAAGGGCTCACTCTTTTGAATGTGTCCTGCCTCCCCTAAGCGAATGAGCACCAGAAACGCCCAAGCACAAGTGACTTCAGAGAGGTAGCAGACCTCAACAGAACCTAATCAAAAATATTTGGCTTTTTACCCCCTCCCCTCTCCTCTCAATAGGTCTCACAAAGCATCTCTTCCCAAAAAATGCTTTTTGAATGCGGAGTGGGAACAAGGCCTCCATACATTGGTCTAAAAACGATGAAACGAGCCCATTGGCAGGAGAAGCCGTTCTGAGTGTATTGACGTATCGAATAGCGAGTCTACCAGAAGTACCGATGAAGTGCTAAAATAACGATGCTGAGCGTGAGACGTTTCATCTGGAAAATGGCCAGGTTGGTGACGTTGTCAGGCAACAGATGATCGTGAAGAAAGAGGAATCACCAATGAATGGATGGGTTGCTAGGAGAGCAAACACGACTGTGATGCTTCACCTTCACACACCGGACACGCGACCATGACCGTCAATGAAAGTTCGAACGGGTGACCTGTACGATTGCTGGCAAAAGCAGTTGTCACCGATGCGATAGCCAGATTGTATGAGCCCCTTCACTTCTACCTAAGTGTGTACCAATGTAAAAGTCGTACCTAACCTAGAAAAACAAATGCACTAAACCTATTTAGACCATGGCTTCTCTTCTTATAAAACCCTGATACCGACTTTAATAATGATGATTTTCTAGGAAGTAGCTTTCCCTCGAAGGACCGTTTCTGAGGCTCTGCAAGCCATGACCTTCCTTTAGGTCCGTCCGTCGATTCCATAAAATTTCAGGACTTCCATAGACGGCCAAACACCTCTTCGTCCTCACGTTCTTGAAGAACTTTAGGGAAACGACAAAAAAAAAAAAAAAGAAAATGTAAAATAGAGTGGAAAAATGACGAAAATGGAAATATATAGGTTTGATCCATAATTTCTGGCCGAATTTCAACACTTTGATTTTTTCAAGTTTTATCTTTCCTAAAGAACAATTGATCAAAAACATAACCACCATCATAATCACTGATATGCACCCACTTGCTAGGGAACGAATGGATGCATTCCTCCCAGAACGAGAGAAGCTGTGAGATGAAAAGCTCGAAGAGGTTCGCTCGCGCAAGCTACGAGTCCTGCTAATTAGCTGTTCTGGCATGCACTAGTACTCGAGGCAGGCGGGCCTCATTGAAACGCTGGGTCTGTGATGTGAGTTGTAACCTTGCAGGCTCCTATGCCTTTGCGCATAGGTGCTATTGAGCCAATAGCTTGGTGCCGATCAGTAGCAAAGACTGGGGCAAACATGGCAGCTGATCTTGCCGACCGCGCTTCTTGCAAGGTTCTTCTTAAAATTGTCGCAAGGCAATGTGGATAGGTTTGGCTGTATCTATTCGATTACTACTTAATTATCCGGGCATCAACCTGGTTCAACCTAGCATACCATAATCTGCATTTACCCCCATTCTTGAACCCAGAAGCGCTAAAATACGTTGACACACGACTGACCTGATGGTGAGCTCGTCTTGAACTTGCTCCATCCGATGCACAATGAGTCAGACTGTCACGCTGAGCTTGTTTGTGGGTAGTTTTGACTAGTCGACAGTGACTACACCAAGACGAAATACTTTATCCAGTACAACCTAAAACATGGGTCATTGAACTAGTAAAAGTCTAGTAAACAACAACATTAATTGTACTGTAAGTGTTTTTATACACGTGTTGTACTGTAAGTGAAAGTTGTGTCATCCACGACAAGGTGATGTTATGAAAAGGAAAAATCCAAAAATAGTTTTGTGCTCAATCATTTTTAATATTATCTCCAACAATTTACTTCATGTTGATTTCGAAGTGGCGTCATTACGCCTCAACGTTTCTTGATTGAAATTTGTATAGTGCCTTCTCGAAATTCATTTGACTTCCACCACTAATAAGCCGGAAAACTTATGCATGAACAGGCGTGAAACGTTGACGCCCGCGCCGATTTTGGCGCATGTCACACATGTGTCACTGGCCGTATTGCGTACGTGCATATTCGGACTTCGGATTTGCACAATCCCATATGTATGACATTTTGTGCGTTTTCGTTGCGGAACCCGCATAGCCGATCCATTGGAACGGCTGTGAGAACTTTCGCATTCGTTATACGAATCATAAGTCTTTTTTTCATTTTGCTTCTGTCGTACGTATTTTTCGGAGCCTTTCTGAATACCGTCATTATAGTAACACATTTTGGACAATGCAGGCAGACTGGCGCGAGATTCCACGCAACTTACTAGTCTTTTATTGTTTGGCAACGCCAATCAGTTACTCCGCTAAGGGCGTACTCCGCTGCGAGTTTGGCTGCTTTATTGCACGAACAGAGGCTAAGCAAGTTCCCTCAAAATGACTCGCTATTTCAAAGCATCATAAATTTGTTGAAATTGAAGTTGTCGACATGCTTTACGAATTCGCGAGACTAACATAAGTACCGAAAAGGTTCGTTGTGGGACAAGAATTCAGATGGCACACCGGCGATGCCACGCGGGCTGCACACTCTGTCTACGTGCTCGCGGACCATTGGCCAGCTGGATCATTCCTTGTTTCTTATTCTCCCCTCTCTCTTCCTCCTCACTCTCATAACCAAAGCAAAAATAACTGAATGAAGCACAGCAGTAGAAGTGAATATAAACCAACACGAATACAAAAATACATGTTTCCATGGAATAATCAGTAAATACCTTTAACTTCCTCTACAGCGAAAGCAAGTATAATTGGCCTTTCCATTACTAAAACACGTTCTTTCGATCGAAATTTTACCACTACACCCTGACTTATACGCAGAGAATATTGCTGAAATAGTTATAAGCCACTCATGTTTTGCATAGTTATCGCTCAAAATTTACGGATAAGAGATGTGGCAGCGGCGCCAAAAAATCGCGCCTGTCTCATGTGGCCAAAATGCCGAAACGCGCTATAGTCGTGTTAATTGATATTTTACCTTCCTCTAATTCATTCGTTGTATCAGTTATCATCCGCTGAAATCTATCCTGCTATGTATAATTCGCTAAGTATGTCGTGTGTATACTCGATATCCAAGAGTTGGGGTGGGCGTGTCACCGGAAGTGACGTGCACTTGATAGCTATGTGGATAAGCTGCTTCCAACATACATCGCTGGATATCAGCAAAGCATGCTGGCAACAGCTTATCCACGCAACTTCTATCAAGTGCACGTCACTTCCGGTGACACGCCTACCCCAACTTTCGGATATCGACTGTATGTCTGTGTGCTCTGCTTGTCACGAAATTCATAGCTTGCTTCGCTGCAGCCATGGAAGGCTGCACCTTGAGTACCAGTTTGGCTTCGTTCGCCACCGCGCGCATGTCAAAATAGGCTCCGGTAAACTGAGCATCGTGGGGCTCTTGTATTAAAGGACGAATTCACGATGAAAAAGCAACCCATTTCAAATTAACCTAGGGATGGTGAGTGGTACACGAAAGAAGGAAGAACCATGAGAAACGGCCCAGAACCCGAGAAATGGGACCCCTTCCTTGCCCGTTGATTTGAGCATTGATGCGACTCTCATCGCTGTGCCCTCTTCAACACTACGCTCTCTCAGCTATCTAATCACTCGCCACGTATTGAACTACGGCGAGTGATCAGATGATCGGTGGGCGGAGATCGCCGGACCCGCCAGCTTTGAGGCATGATAGGTCGCCGAGGTCAAATTTTTCCATGCGAATTGCGCGTCAGTTCGCACCCTCAGGAGGTCCGTGGGTCCCTCAACTAGGTCAGTTTCCCTTTCTTCGACCTTCATTCTAATCGTGAATTCCTCCTTTAAGCAACACGCATGCATAAAATGCATTCGACTAATGTTATCAATGAAGGGTTATTACGGTGCTGGTAGTTATGTCGTATCCCCATAGGTCAATAACTATAAATGTGCATCATTTTCCGAAAAGAAACACGATCTAGCGGCCGATTACGCTTGGAATAAGCACAGTTACTTTGGCTGCTTTAGCTTCCCTACAATTACCATGCCTCGGACGTTATAGTGGTTCAGCAGTTCAACAGTTTCTTATACCTCTGACATGGGAACATAAACACTGATACTGATTGATAGGTGTACGCTAGATTGTAGCGATTGGAGGATGGTGTCTTCATTGTGCATACAAGCATATCGAGTGGTTGGCTTCAGGTACGTAATCATTCATCCTTTTAGCTCGAGGCGGTACCACAATGTCCCCTTGAACAAGCAGCTCGAGTTGATCCACAGTTGACCGACGGCACAACGCAAAACGCGAACAGTGGACCAGTTAGTAGTGCCAGGATGGCAAGGACGGCGTACGGTCATGCCTTCAACACTTTCAACAAGCACTTGTTGTCTAAATTCTCGTCCATGTTGGGCACTTCACGCTAGCCGTCACGCCACTTGCAAATTCACCAGAGGAAAGATTTGATACATACATCGTAAAGGATACCGATTTTGAAGGTCATGATTTGACCAATCTTACGGGGCCAATGC